GAAAGTTTAAAAAAAAATGGAAGAAGGAAAAGAACATTTCAATAGGAAGTACAAACCTTTGCCTAAGAACAAACCCTTCAAGGGTGACTGCGCATGCATTTAAATACCTGGTGTTCACGGTAGAGATGGAGACAACATTGTAAACTGACTACACTTCAATCAATCAACCAATCAGTACGCGGTCCTTAATGCAATAGCGCATCCCACCTTCCAGAGGCCCTGAAACACGGATGGAAGGGCAAAGTCAAGAAGGAGAGACCGGCCTCCCTCTGCTCCCCGCTCCTGCTTTCTTGCTGATTTCCAGAGACGGCATCACTGACCAGTTCCCTGGCGCCCAGCAGGCCTCGGCTTCACCCACCCCTCTGACTGGCAGCGAGCAGCTGGGGTGGCCTCCCAGAAAAAAATGCCCGTGGGTTTGGCCAGAGCAGCTGGTCAAGCAAGCCTCGTGGTTTCTGGTCCCCCCTCCCCAAAAGCCCAGAGCTTGGGGTCCCCAGAGTGTCGGGAGCCAAGCACCAGGTAAGCGTGAGTCCGAGCACCCAGCCCTCCTCAGCAGGTCACACGGTGGGCCTTTCCCTCTGCCTGCCCCCAAGACCGAAGTCGGAAATGGAGCCAAGCTTTGGCAGACACTTCCCCAGCGGCTGGTCTGCCCAGAAAGGGTAGTAGCCTTATAGTGCCTGAGAGAAGCTTCCAGAACCTTCACAAAGTGCCAGGGGCTGGGCTAAGTGCACCCTGTGTAGAATCTCATTCCACCCCTAAACCACAGCCCTGACAAGCAGGTCCCATCATCATCGTGGCTCTTCAGATCGGGAAACGCAGGCGTGGTCCAGCTCGTGAGCAGCAGATGGCAAAGCAAGACTCGGAACAATTCTCGTGACCACCTGGAAGCGGGGCCAGCGAGGCCGGCCCTCTGGATCCTAAGGACTCACCAAGGTGGGGGGCAGGGAGGCGTTCTCCAACCCTGGAGACCAGTTAGGGCTTTGCCCCAGGCTTTCGCCCACAGACCTCCCTCTTGTAACCTTCCCCACAATGCGCTCAGCCACATATTCAAGGTCTGTATTTGTCACCAGAAGGCCCTCTCCAAGGAGGCAGGGGCTGTTCCCTCCTGTGGCCCCGAGGACCCCAGTACCTGGCACGTAGCCATCTCTCAATAAACACATTTTGTGGCCCAGTGTACATGGACTCCGCCTCTACCCTGCCCATCCAGGACTCCTTGCACTTGACCTCTACTGGCACCTCCACCCCGAATACACAGACAGTGATGGAGAGGGAGCATCTCAAGCCACACGACACAGTGACTTTTTTTTCCTTGTAATTACTTTAACCATTGTGAATTTTTTTTCTCCCTCTGCCAAAAGCATCATTGTTGGGGTCAGGTGGAAGAGGGGACACTGTAGAAAAGGCTTAAACTGGGTCCAAGGACCACCCAATGCATCCATGCCAAATGCTGACCGGACCTTTGATGTTTCCAGAGCCTGGCCATTGTGCAAGAAAAAGGCTTGAAGAGACCTCTAGGAGAATGGAAGACTTGATGGATAGTTTTCACAGGTCTGTGTCTGTTGCCTGAGACAGGGGAGTATTCTCCAAAAGCTCATTTCAGTCTGTTTTGCATTCAAATGTCCCACATCATGTTGTATAAGCCTTCTAAAGCCACAGTAACAAAATAATATTTTAAAAGCTGGAGGTGTACACTCATGTTCAGAGCAACCTTATTCAATAGCCAAGAGGTGGAGGTAACCCAAGTGTCTATTGATGGATAAATGGATAAGCAAAATGTGGTTCATCCACAGGATGGAATATTACTCAGCCCTAAAAAGGAAGGAAATTCTGACACCTGCTACCACATGAATGAACCTTAAGGACATTATACTCAGTGAAATAAGCCAGATTTAAAAAAAAATACTGTATGATTCCATTTATTTGAGGTCCCTAGAGGAGTCAAATCCACAGAGACAGAAAGTGGGATGGTGGGGGCCAGGGGCTGGGGGAGGGACGGGGAGTGAGTGTTTCATGGGGACAGAGTTTCAGTTTGGGAACATGAGAAAGTTCAGGCAATGGATGGTGGGGATGGCTGCACAACAGTGTAAATGTGCTTAATGCCACTGAGCTGCACACTTAAAGATGGCTAAGACGGGAAATTTTATGTTATGTGTATTTTACCACAATTAAAGAAATGGAAGGGGGAAAAAAGCCAGAGATGAGTTGTACTCAATAGACAAGAGTGTCTGTTCAAAAAAAAAAAAATCATATCTTGACATCTGTTATCAGGACAGGACAATGCCTTGCCTAGGGGACCCCATCACTGATTACAAACCAGGAGCAGCTGACATCAATGCCAGATGCCAGGATCCGGTACCTGGAAGGTCTCAGCCGCAGGAATACGTGCAAAGCCACACCTTCCCTGGTGGCGAAACTGCCAGTGCTGGAAAAGCAAGCCCTGTTCTCAAAAGCACAAGATTAAAAAAAAAAAAAAAAAGCACTGCTCAGAATATTAGGGACATTTCTGCAGATAATACCGTCCTGGATGTTTTGACTAAAATCGGTACAGAAATAAATCCACAGAGGAATGTCTTAAATTATATCTCAAGACGTGTGAGCCTGGAGCATTTCAAACAAGAATGTGAATTTGGAGGACGGAGCACTGGGATGAAAAAGCGTTCGCTGTTTTCCCTGGTGCCCCAGCTAGAAGTGGCTTAAGCAGCTCTAAACAGAAGGGGCAGCCCCCACCGCCCCCCACTCCCCCTCCAAAACACACACGCTATGTTTGTGCCTCAGACATGGTACAAACCCTCACTGTCTTTTATTAGCTGTGTGGCCTTAGCAAATTAAGTAACCCCTCTGGTCTCTAAAGCAAGGATAACAGAGCTCCCCTTGCAGCTGTGTGTCCGCATAACACAGGAGGTCCTAGGCAGCCTCTCCTCCCCACCCCCACCTCCGGATTCTTCAAGATCATCTCTCCCACCCAGTTCATTCACCCGCCCCCGGACTCCCACCCCTGGCTGAGAAGTCTCCCTGTTCTCATACAAAATTCCAAGTCCACGGGTGGTCCTCTACTTCCGCCAGGACTTTGCCCCGGCTTCGATCCTTCCTCTTGGGCATCACTTGGCTTCTCTGTGTCCCTGACCTACCGACGTTCTCAAGACTTTCCCACAGTATAATGATCATCATTCCTTCCCCATCCACAAACCACCAGGCTGTCGTTCCCTTCATCGCTCAACCTCTTAAAGAGTGGTGTCCACTCTCACCTCCTGTTTCCTCCCGTCCAGCATCCCAGACCTGGAAGGGCCCCTCCCCGGAGGTCAATGGAGTCCTCCCTACTGAGTCCATGGATGCTACTTAGGACTCACCCTGTGTGGCTTCCTCATAGATTTGAGCTCAGGTAAGAAGCCCCTCCTTTCTCCCTTCCCTTATCTTTTGTGATACAACCCTTAAACCATCCACTCACTTTCTCTTGTCCCGTCTCACATTCGCTAATTCTTCCCCGGGAATTCCGCAACGTGTGAAAGAGTCAATAAAACAATCAACAAGTAACACAGTGTGTGTGTGTGTGTGTGTGTGTGTGTGGAACTAGTCTTCCTGGAAACCAAAACATTACAAAACAACACTGATTAGAACAGTAACAGCCCCGGAGAGAGAAAAGGCAGGCGTATTCACAGAGACCCAGAAACAGACCCCAAATCAATGACAAAGGCGTAAATTTCTTCAATAAACGGCATTGAGACTCTGACTAGTTTTTGGGGTGGGGAGGGGAACGGATACCCTTTTGAATCATGAGCACAAACAAATCCCACATACCCAGGACAGTTTTTTTAAATGATAATAATTAAAATTAAAATAGAAAACTTGGAGGGAAAAAAAAGCATTCATTTTTATGGATAGAAGGGAACTTTCTCAGCATAAAATAATACGAGAGGCATGTGAAAATCCAGCTCTGACCTCCATAAACATTTTAAGCTTCTCGAGCAACTGACACCCAGAGTACTTTCACCACTGAACAAAAACGTCTGAAAACGTAATTGGCAAAGAGTTAACAGTCTTCGTGGAGGAAAACCACACACCGATTAATATTTCAAAAACCACTAAGGCACTAAAAAATAAATGGACAAAGGCTACGAACAGGAGGAAGAGAAAACCCAAATGATAAACAAACATGTTTTAAAAGGTTCGACCCTGATAGGAATCAAAGAAACGCAAATAGAACAATGACACCACCTCAGCCCCTCCCTCCGGGAAGTTAGGAAAGACTTTTCAAACAACACTCAAAGCTGGCCAAGGTGTTCCCTCTCGGCCAATGCGAAGAGGAGTGCCCTCTGGTACAACATTTCCGGAAAGCCATTTGGCAATCTGTATCAAAAAACTTTGACCCAGAAATTACACTTCAGGAAAAGCAAGATGTGAAGGGAAAAAGAAAAAGAGTCCCATAAAGCTTTGACCCGCCCCAAATGTTCACCCCTCTTTGTGAAAACTGACAATCATCCAAATGCCCCCAAAACAGGGAGAGTTAGTTAAGACAGAACAGAAACACTAGCAGGAAGGACCCCCGATCATTGTGGAATACGGATGGCTGTTTTGGTTTTTTCGCTTTACACAGTTCTCTTTTCCAATCTGCAATCTCACTTCTATAATCAGATAGAAAATAAATTTGGATTTTTTTTTTTACAACAAAGTCCATGCTCATCTGCTGGCTCAAGCAAGAGGAACATTCAACTGTCTAGCCCAGGATTTGGCAACATCCGGCCCCCTGCTTGGTTTTGCAAATAAAGTTTTATTGAAACACAGCCACGAGCACTTGCTTATGCGTTGCCTGTGGCTGCTTTCCCACGCCAATAGTGGGAGGCTGAGTGGTTGCCATGGAGACCAGTGCAGACTGCAAGGCTTAAAATATTTAATTTCGGAGGCTTTGCAGGAAACTTTGCCACCACCTGGTCTCGTGAATGCCTCCAGCTTCTTTCTAACAAACAAACCATGAGAAACGGCTTAGGCCCCCGCAGACCCCGGTGTACCTTTCTGACAGTGGCTGTGCGTCCAACACCGCTCGACAAATTGCCCGTTGATGACGGTGGCAGGGCAGTTGGTTTTGCCCTTGGCAGTGCCTGGACAAATGTCCCCACATTCCTCGTTGTCATCTTTGTTCAGCACGATGTAATTATCCTCCACGGAGTCCAGGATGCGCGACCAGTCGATGGTGGCCAGGTAGCAGAGCTCATTGTTCTTCTCGATGCGGACCGAGCCCCGCGTAATGTTCATCAAATTGTAGAGGCCAAGCTCCTTCAGATGAACCATCTCGAAGATGACCAGCGCGTAGTTGAAGAAGAGGCGGGAGCCCCGGATGACCGTGAGGTTGGGGAACAGGTCCTTCAGGCTCTCCAGCCCGTAGACCCGGAAGAGCAGCAAGTAATCGGTGATCATGATGAGTTTGGGGAAACTGAGGTCTCGGAAATCCTCAGGCCTCGTTTTGAACATCAGCAGTATCTGCAGATGTCCTTCGATGACGGAGCAGTTGGCCAGCTCGTGCAGCCGGGTGAGGTTGTTCCGGATGTCCATGCCGGGGCACACTGCAAGTGCAGACAAGCAGAGAGCGGGACAGGTGAGCAAAGCCCCCAAGGATGGTTTGTAAGAATCAGTGGCAGGGCCGGCTACACGGGCACGGGGCCCGGGTCCTGCACCCGCTCAGAAGAGCCCTGTGCTTGGCGTAAGGCTCTTCCCTCCACCTTGAAATCCTTAGTCGTTTCTGAGCGAGGGGCCCCAGGGTTTCATTCTGCGCTGGGCTCTGCGAATTCTCTAGCCAGCCCTGATCGGTGGCTTTCTCTGTGAAGTGTCCATGCCTAAGTAATTACTCTCAAAGGGCAAAATAATAATAATAATAATTCCTTTGGCAGTGCCTGTGAGAAGCCTTAAAGTCATTGCATCAAATATGACGCAATGGAGACACTGGGATTACAAGGGACTGAGTAATGCAGCAGGTGCCAAAGGGGAAAGAAGAACCATCCCCAGTGAGTCAGTGGCGATAATCTTCAGGAAATAGATTTATGGGGGTAAAGGTGCCCGCCTCAGAAACGGGACAAGGAGAACTGACACTGTTTTGTCAGCTTTCCCACCTCGATGACGCTCCTTCTCAACCTGCCTCCCTGGCAGGCAGCCAAGGCCTAATTACCTTTACCTGGATGTGGCAAGGGCTTGCCAGAGAGTCTGATCTCCCCTGCACAAACACCCTGCATGCTCATTCTCCCGCAGGTGGCCCCTCCATGGCTCCCCACGGCCCTGCACTTTCCTCCCAGGGCCATGGAGGTTCTGCACCTGCATCTGCACCATGTGACAAGGCCTGCCCACCGCTCACACAATTCTGTGCCCTCCCTGTAACGTGACCTCTGAAGAGGAGTGAGTGAAATCACGCAGTGGCTGGCACATAGTAGGTGCTCTGTTAGAGTCAGCTGTTTTGTTTCGCCATTGTTTGTTTCTCCTGAACATATCACAGCCATCTCTAGGGGAATACGCCTTCATTCCTCTGGACCAGGGGTGGGCAAACATTTTCTATAACGGTGCAGACAATAAATATTTTCAATTGTGCGGTCAGACAGCCTCCATCCAGACTCTGCCGTTACAAGCTCAAAAGCTGCCAGAGACAATGAGTGGCTGCGGCTGTGTTCCAATAAAACTTTATTTATAAAAGCAGGCTGTGGGCTGGTGTTTCGCCCTGCCACTGTAGTTCGGTGACACTTGCCCTAGTCCAACACAGTCCAACAGATCTTCTACAGAGATAGAAATGTTCTCCGTATGCATGGCCACCGTGGAAGCCGCTGCCATTTGTGGCTGTCAGGCACTTGAAATGTGGCTAAGACTGAGGAACTGGAGATTTGATTTTACTCTAGTTAATTTAGAAAGAAATAGATACATGTGCCTAGTGGCTACTGTACCGAACAGGGTAGCCCTACTCCCTTGGGCTGTCAAAGTTCTTTATACCTTAGCTGCCTATTTCTAAATCCAGACCATCATCCTCCAAGATCCAGTTCAGACACCACCTCCTCCAGGCAGCCTTCTCTGATTTCCTTTCCTCCATATACCTATTAGGATCTTTCCCTCATCCTGTGTTCCTAATACTGGAGTTAACCTTCAATGGAACTGGATTCTTTAGACAGCTTCTTGCAAACACACACACACATACACTCACTCACTCAGAAATTAGGAGCAAGCTTTGAGGGGACTGAGATGCCAGTTCCAGCCCCACACACACATGCCACTCAAGCCTGGTCTGGGGCTCTCAGCTTCTCACATCCACAGCACCCACATACAAAGGTCTGGACAGGTACTGTTTCACAGACACCCCCCAACAGGCCCCCTCTGCACCCCACAGATGGGGAAACTGGACCTCTGAGAGGCAAAGCCAAGGACACTCAAGGACATATGGCCCCCCAGTGACAGTCAAGGTTGCCAAATTTAGCAAATAAAAATGCAGGACACCCAGTTAAATTTGAATTTCAGATAAGCAACAAGTACTTTTAGGATAAGTATATCCCATGCAATATTTGGGCCATACTTATCCTTAAAAATTATTCATTTTTCTATATAAAATTAACTTGGTGCCCTATATTATACCTGGCAACATACAGCTTAACTCGGCCATAGGTCTGGGCTTCTGAAGCCTGAGCCTCACACTCCGTATTTCACACAAACACACAAAATTGTGAAATTGATGCAAATACAAAGAACACAAGCCCACCGTTCTCCCCAAGCTGTGGGAGGACCAAAATCAGATATGAATGTGCGTGCATTCAAAGATTAACCAGCTGTTGGACATCAGAGAAATGCAAAAACAAATCATGATGAGATACCACTTCACTCCCACCGGGATGGCTACAATTAAAACGACAGACAATAGCAAGTGTTGACAAGGATGTGGAGAAATCAGAGCCCCCATACTTTTCCGGTGGGAATGGAAAATGGTGCAGCTGCCACACAAAACCATCTGGCAGTTCCCCAAAAGGCTAAGCAAAGAGTTACCATCTGACCCAGCAACTCCACTCCAAGGTAGAGACCCAAGAGAAATGAAAACATAGGTCCACCCAGAAACATGCATACAACTCCACAGCAGCGTTATTCATGGCAGCCAAAAAGTGGGAACAACTCAGATGTCCAGGAACTGATAAATAAATAAACAAAATGTGGCGTGTCCATACACAGGGAGACTACTCGGCAGGAACACGGGAGGCAGCACTGACACAGGCTGCGACACAGAGGAGCCTTGAAAATGTCACGCTTGGCGAAAGAAGCCAGACACAAAAGACCACATGTGGCATGATTCCTTTTACATGAAACGTCCAGAAGAAGAAAACCCATAGACACAGAAAGCAGGTTAGTGGTTTCAAGGGGCTGGAGGAGGGGGGATGGGAAGTGACAGCCAGAGAGTATGGGACATCTGTGGGGGTGATGAAAGGGTTCTAAAATTGATTGTCGTGATGGCTGCACAGCTCCGTGAATGGACCAGTGTGCTAAGAGCTGCCAAACTGTAAACTTTACAATTGTAAAGTGAATTGTATGGCACTGAATTAGATCTCAATAAAGTTGTTATAAAAAAATTAAACAACTATAATTGTATGGGACAACAAAGAATTGCTTTTTTTTAAATCTCCAATGACTCTTAACAACTCATTTAAGCCATGTGTGTCTCTATGAGTCTAAGACAATAGAGCAATTTACTCCTGGGACAGGAAACACTCAGAGGATGTTAGAAATGGTGCCAGCGATAGATGTCAGGCCTTCTGCTGGCTTTTAATTCCTCGGGGTGGGAACTGAAAGATGCATCAGGTTCTTAGCAAGTGGCACCTGGCTAATCGCCACTCTACACACAGGTAGGGAAGGACCACATGGAGCAGGGGGAGGAGGGGGGTCCTGGTGACAGCTAAGGCACATACTATGTAAAGCACTTGGCCACGTTCTGGAGGACATGTTCTCTGGATTAATTCTAAAAATAATCCCCAAAATAAAATTAAAAATAATCCCAGGGGAGGTGTCATCTTCACACCCATTTTTGTGATGAGCAAATGGACACTCAGACTGTTTCAAGTGGTAAGGCTAGGGTTTCAACCAAGCATTCGAGTGCAAAGTGTATGCTGTAACTATGTTACAGTTTTACTGTTTTTGTTCTCTAAAAAATATCCCTAAGGAAGAAGCAGGTGAATGTGACTTGGAAACAATAAAATAATGAAACAATGAAATAATTTTCATGTAGTGGCAACCTGGAGGAAGCTTGTGAAAGAGAATTTCCTTCCATCACTCCTCTTTGACACAGCCTGGGACAACCAAGGAGGGCTTCCCAGAGGAGGTGATGCCAGGACTAAAACCTATACAAACAGTGCAATAAGAATTATTCAGCTCTACCTGCTTCATTCTAAAATCAAGCTACAGCTTGTTGCTGTGAGTCACCTGGGTGTGAAGGGTCTAGAGCCTAATCTGATAGAAATATAATGTCAGCCATATATAAAATTTTAAATTTTCTCTAAAAAGGTAAAAAGAGACAGATGACATTAAAGACACTTAATTTAATCCAATGTATCTAAAAATTTCACTTCAACACATAAAGCAATACTAAAAAATTATTCAAATGATGTTCTACAGGATCATTTTCAGACTCGCCTCCAAATACTGTTTCACACTTACACCATGTCTCACTTCAGTTGCTAAACTTTGATCAGAAATACTCAATCCATAAATGCAGATTTCATAAAATGAATCACTGAATATGTGGGTCCTTCCTGTCCCCAAGTTGTTCCAAACATATTAAAGAGCTTCCCAATAACAGAATCAAGTCTTGCTTTCTTTTTTTAACATTTCAATCCACTAAAGTGAAATAACACTTTACATTGACATTTAAATGAATTAAAATTAAGTAAAAGTACAGTTTTAGTCACTCTGGCCACAATTTTGAGCGCTCCACGTGGACAGTGGCCACCACAGTGGATGACACAGCGATAGACCATTTCCATCAAAGCAATATGTTCTCTTCAGCAGTGCTGGTTCAGAACTTCCCGCTCAGCTGGGGGCATCTGAGAACTTTCCAGAAGGAGAGAAGACTGACATAAGACTGGAAAGTGTCCCCTCTCCCCTGGTTTTCTCTCCACCACGAAGGAAGCAAAGGAGAAGTATTGAGCTGGGAAGGCGGTACCTAGAAGATTCTGAAACTCCTTGAGAATGCTAAGAGTTTCAGACCTTCTGCTTTCAAAGTGATTCCTTAGACTGATTCCTTAGTCTCAACATTCTTTAAAGGCTCCCTGATGACCAGTTCTGGGGCCACCCATTCCTCGCCGCAGTCTTTCCAGTCTTAACATTGCTTCCTCTGAAGTTCAGGAGTCCTGGCCAGCAAGCCTTGGGTTCAGGTGTCAGGCCACCACCCTGCCAGTTTCAGGTCACACTAGAAACCCAACGGGTCTGGCTTCCCACTCCAGCGCTGGCACCTACCAGCTACATAATCCTGGCCACATGCTCAGATGTCTGTGTGCCTCAGTTTCCTCACCTGTAAAGGATAGTGATCACATCATAAAAAGTATGAAGAAGTGGTGAG